CAGTATTAGATCTTCCCTGGAGATCTTCTAGAATTCAGCAGTGAAACCATCTGATCTCGAGCTTTTCTGTGTTGATAGGTTTTTGTTATTGTTTCTATATCATTGCCTGTTATGGGTTTATTCAGCTTTTTAAAAATATCTTCTTGGCTCATTTTTGGTTATTCATACATATTTAGGAATCTATCCATTTCTATGAATTCTCTACTTTATTAGAGTACAGATTTTCAGAGTAGTTACTAAAAATCTTCTAGATTTCAAAAGTGTAAATTGTAATTTTGCCTTTTTCAAATGACCTTTAGTTAGGTCTTTTCTTTCCTTTTGGGGTAAAATTCGCTAAACTTTTGTCTACTTTGTTTATTCTATAGTAGAACTAGTTCTTTAACTCATTGATTCTTCATAGTAGATTTTTTTCAGTCTTGATTTCATTATTTTGTGCTCTGATCTTTAAATGTGCTTTCTTGTACTAGTTTTGGATTTGGATTTTTCTTCTTTTTTTTACCACCTGTTAGTGCATCATTAGGTTTTAATTAGGATTCACTTCATTTTTCTGATGTGAACAATTGCAGCTCTGAATTTGGGTCTTAAAAGACTGCTTTCCCTGTGTCTCATAAGTTCTGGTATGTTATACTGGCATTATCAGTTGATTGTAGGAACTGTCTAATTTCTTCCTTGACTTCTTCTGTGACTCATTATTTTTAAGAGCGTGTTGTTTAGTTTCTATAACGTCTGTGGTTTATTTTGCATTTAATGTTGTTTCATCTCACTATAGTTTCATAATATGCATCAGATAATATAGATTCTTTTGCATTTATTTAAGCATGCTTTATGGACTAGCATGTAGTCTATTTTGGATAATGTTCTATGTGCTGCTTAGAAGAATGTGTATTCTGATGTTGTTGGGTAAAACATTCCATAGATACCTCTTAAGTCTATTTGTTTGAAAGTGTAATTTGACTCTAATATTTCTTTTATTTTTTTTGTCTATTTGATCTTTCTGCTTATGACAGGGGGTATTTAGGTCCCCCATTATAATTATGCTGACAGTTATTTGGTGCCCAGGCAGTGCTTTTATGTCCAGGAGTATGTGCTTTATGAAGTTAGACATGCATGTGTGTGGTGCATATATGTTTATAATTATTATCTTCCTGTTGATCTGCTTCTCTAGCAAATATTTAGTAACCTTCTTTGCCTTTTCTGATCAGTTTTCCCTTGAAATCCACTTTGTCTGAAAGTAGGATAGCTACTCCTGCTTGTTTTTGAGTTTCCATTGCATGGAATATTTTGTTCTATCCTTTGATTTTTAGTCTACAAACTTCTTATTAGATGTAATGTGTTTCATATGTAAAGCATATTGCTGGATTTTGTCTCTTTATCTATTCTGCCACTGCCTGTTTTTTGGTAGGAGAATTGAGGCCATTCATTTTGAGAATTAAATATTGAAAGGTATAGACTTATTTCTGTCATATTATTTTTGTTTATGATTTCTTTTTTTCCTTCTATTTAACTTTTCACCTTGCCTGGTGTATTAATTCTGTTAGACATTTTGGCATTGTTGGCCTCATTGTCTCTTTCTAGGATATTCTTGAGAATTTTTTTTGTAGTATTGCCTTGTTTCTAAATTTCTTAAGGCACTTTTTGTCATGGAAAATCCTTATTTTCCCATCAATTTTGAAAGATAGTTTTGAGGGATATATTAGTCTGGGTTGAAAGTTGTTTTCTTTTACAGCTTAAAACACATCACTCCAAGCTTTTCTGGCCTTTAAGTTTTGTGTTGAGAAGTCTACTGTTATTTTAATGCATTTACCTTCATGAATGATTACTTTCTTTTCTCTAACAGCTTCTAAGTTTGTACTTTTGTGTTGAAATTCTGGAATTTTGACTATAATATATTTTGGAGAAGTCCTTTTTTAAACTTGGCTATTTGGGGTTCCATATGCATCACTTACCTGTATGTTAAATCCTTACCCCATATTTGGATACAGTTTCTTCTTTCTTTAAACAAATTTTATATGCCAATTGTGCTATCTTCTTATTTTTCACTAATTTCAAATAATCTTAGGTTAGTATTCTTTGTGTCATCTAGCAGTTTTGGGGCCCATTTTTCAAGTTCTTTTATTTTTTTCAAGATGTCTCTGAGTACTTGGTCAATCAACATCAGTCTAATGTTTCATTGCCCTCATGTTGGTCACTTCTGCTTTCTGTACTAAAAATAGAGCTTTTAATCTTCTAGATTATTAGTTGGTAACTTTAGATGAACTACAATTCTTTGCTAAATTAGTCACTCATGTTTTGGATACTTTTGTTTAGCTCAGCTAGCTTTTATTAGTATTTTCTGTAAACTTGCTGATCATTTTGTTTCTTAAATTCATTAGCTGTTTTCTTATATCTACTTTGAACTTACTAAACAAATTATTCATCTGTTTTTAATCTCATCTTTTATCTTTCCAAATAATTCAGCTATGTAGCTTTTGATTTCCTCCTCCTCAATGCCCCAAGGATCAGCGTTGAGGAAGTTAGGAATTTGTGGAGGCATTTTTGTTGCCTTGTATTTCTCTCTCTCTCTCTCTCTCTCTCTCTCTCTCTCTCTCTCTCTCTCTCTCTCTCCAGTATGGAGATCTGTTTAGTCAGTGTGTGTTTTTCAGTGATGCACCCTGGGCATGGCTAACTCTAGGCCTTGCCTCTGTCTCAAAATATAAATACCTCCATTGATTTGGAGGGAGGATGCAGTGTAATTAGTCTACCTCCCAGTTCTCTAGGTAATGTTGTGCAGATAATGAAACACTGGGAATCCAGATATTGACACACAAATAAAAATAATTCATAGCAACAACTATGTCACCCTAGGAACTAAATCAGCAACAATAATAGCAACAAAGACAAATGATATTGACATACCACAAGAACTAAAAATGCACCACCCTTAACCATAGGAAAGAGATTTATAATTATAGCATAAACATTAAGACAAAACAAATATTGACATAACTAAATGCAATAAGTATACCTCTACTAACAACAGAAAAGATTTCAAGAGTAGTAGCATACAGTTAACTAAGTATCTAAAGATTAATAAAGTTTAATGGTTTTAACTCGTAGAGATAAAGGGGGTAAGGAACAAGAGAATGAAAGAAAAATATGAAAAATTAAACCTGGAAAAATTATAAGGAGGGAAAAGTAAGATAAAAGGTCATATTAAAGCATAAGAAGGAACAGAGAAACAAGAAAAAGATGAAAACAGGAAAAATATGAAGAAAAAATTAAAAGAAAAAGAAGAAAACCCTAATTTATAAAAAAAATCAACAAAGAAGGAAAAACACATGAGTAAAAAAAAATTCTTCTTTTTGTTTTTATTTAATGAATGGTTTCATTCTAGGATCTGAAGTTTTGGAATCCAGCAAGACACAGTTTTCTCTGCCTAGCTTTATAGCTTGTGGGTTTGTAAGGCCACTCCCCTGCTACAGAGGCCCCATTTTTCATACACTCCAGGCTGTGGGAACCATTCAAACTGAGGTTTGTCTTCTCTTATGCTGGTAGACAGGGAAAGCAATCAGACCACTGATTTGTACTGGATCTAGGGAGCAGGATAGTGATTCCAGCAGACTGCTGGACTTAGTGCTAGCACTTTTAGACCTAGTTGCCTCTGAAAGTGCCACATATTGGTCCTAGCGTGTCACCAAGGAGGGCAGGGCCCTATGTCATTCCTAGCCTGAGTTTAAACTTTTCAAGGATCTATGTCTATCCCATACCCTATCCACGATTATTTACTGTGCCTGTCTCTCAACAAGGCGTCATTGGAAGTAATACTGGAAGCTTGAAGTGAAGCTATTCTGTAGTTGTTCTGAGGACTGGTATTAAACAGTCATCCCTTTCCCAAAATGGTTCCCAATTAAACACTATTAGGTCATATTGTGTGGGTTTTGCACTGGATTTCTTTTCCACCTTTAGCCTGCTGTGAGGAAGGAGTCACTTTCAGAGTAAAATCCCACACTGTTTTGCAGTTTACAATAACTGTGATCTTTTCTTGGGACTAGTGTTGCTGGGCAAGTCAGTTGTTTTTCCCTGTAACTCCTGAGTCTGGGGGCTTACCTTGTGCCCTCATGTACAGATTCCTTTCCCAGGGAACCAGGGTAAGCTTTCTAGACTTCTTTGTTCTTTTCTCTTTGTTTTGTTCTGTTTCTCCAATTTTTCTGTAGTTTCTCATTTTTCTGTAAGTTCTGACTGAATTCTCATAGATCTATTTCTTTTTTCCTTCACTAAGGTCTTATTTTCCAGGTATCTGGATTCCTGGTCCCAGTGAGGCTGTAGTTTGCTGATGATTGCTGTTTCACCATTTTCTGCCTTCTCTAGTATACAAAATTTTTCCTAGGATGTTGTAAGACTCAAACGTAGTAATATAGTTGTTAGGCAGATATAGAGTACTGATATCTATGACCATTATACCTCATTGTAGTATCTCTGACATTTGGAGAAACAACTTGGAATCTGCATTTTCAAGAGAGTCCCAAGTCTGAAGATTCATCTCCACTTAATGAAGATGTTCCATTATTTTGGGAGCTTTCCCTTTATAAATAATTTAACCTCTCTTTTTAACCTGATTCTCCCACCAGCCCCATTAGATGGATTTCCCTATCCTCCCTATTTATGAAAAAGGGAAGCTTAGATTGAGGGAGTGACTTGCCTAAGGTCTTACAGAGAGTAGTGAAGCTCATATTTGAAACCAGTTCTCCTGACTTCAGTCTTTGTGATGTTGCCTCAATGTGAGTCTCTTGCAAAGGCAAGAATGAGAATTTGGTAAATGAATCAATATTATACTTAAATTCCTACCTGGGTTCTCTCTCCTAATAAGGCTCTTGAGGAGTAAGAGAAAATAGCTTAATGGGTATGAAAATAAAGAGACTAATGAAGAATGGGAGGACAAAACACTGGAAGATGGAGTAAGGTGAATACTCTGTGGGAGAAACCCTGATAGAATGGGGCCTGTCATGATTTTCTTCCACCAGGTGGCATGCAGGCACTCTACAAGATCGAGTCTTGCTCTATGGACCCTCCTGTGGAGCAGCTCACAGGCAAAGTTCGGCAGTACTTCATTGAGGCCCATGAGATTCAATGGGACTATGGCCCAATGGGACATGATGGGAGTACTGGGAAGAGTTTGAGAGAACCAGGAAGGTAAGAAGTAGAGGACTTCCTCCCTATATTCCTGTACAAAAACATATCTCCTTTCAATCCCCTGTACCAAAGCAACAACAACAAAAACAAACAAACAAACAAAAAACATATCTCCCTTCAATCCCTCCTACCAAAAACCAAACCAAACCAAACCAAACAAAACAAAAACACACCAAAAACAAAAACAAAAAACAAAAAACTCAAAAAACATATTTCCTTTCCAGAAGTCTCTCACTTCACTTACAGGTAACAATCATTGCCTTGCTAGGATTACTGTTATCTGAGTTCTTGTGGTCCCTGAGAAAGCTTGCTCTCAGGAGCCACAGAAAGCAAAGCTTTTTGTAATGTTATGACATGGTCCCAGCAAGTAGCCAAGAAGAGTAAGAGATTGCTCTTCTAATCCCTGGGCATGTTCATAAATGAAAGCCCAAATGGGACCAGTGCCCACATCATTTGAAATGGCTCTTTTTCAGCTTTTCTTTGTTTGATCCATTAATTATCCCCTTCCTCCTTCCTTTCTTTTCTGCAATATAAAGGAGGTATTTGAGCAGGAGTATAAAAAGCACTCTGAGAAATATGACAAAAAGAGAAGCAAGCTGCTTTGTGGCTATTCCATGCCCATCCTTTTGGAGGATTTCTCCAACTTCCGTCTCTTCTATGACACAAATGTGGACAAAGTAGAGAAGATTAGTGCCCTGCTAAGTTGCTAGCCCTTAAGTTATACCAATGTACTTGGCAACTAATGATGCCAGTTCTTTCACAGAAGACAGTCTTGATAGATGACTAGGAGAAGGCATAGGTGAAGATACTAGGGTACATATTATGTTTATTCTTTCAGCAGGAAATAATGAAGTGATTTTGTAGAAAATGTAAGAAATTTAGTGCTTATGTTTTAGGGTGGTATTAGAATCTCCAACTCCTAGTGGACTTTCATTTAGGAGTGAAGTCCTTTTTGTGGTGGGGGTCTTGCTATGTTGAACAGACACGTCTTGAACTCATGGGCTTAGGTGACCCTCCTGCTAGCCTCCTGAGTAAGATGACTACAGCTGTGCACCCTGATAACCAGATAAGGCTATCTTTGATGAAAGAGAGAAAAGTTTGGAGTACCTGAGGATGATTAAAGAGAGAGATAGGCTGAGTATTTCTATAAGGCAGAACGGTCCCAGTATCTGCAAGAATATTCCAGCCTAGTATAAAGAATAGCTCCAATAATTAAAATAATCTAACAGTAGGATAGATTCCTCCTCTGAGTTCTCTGTATTTAAAAAGACTTACATAGAAGCAGTGTTACTGATTAATGGTGTTACCAAAAGTGATATCTTTACTGGTAGGAGTTAACTTGTATGATCTTGGAGGTTTTTCCTAACCATAAAGGTCTCTAACTTGATGAAATTAAAGATAAAATAAGGGTCTATTTGATAGTCATAAAATTATATGACATTTACCTCCTTGTACACTAGTAGTTCAGATAAATTCTTCAAGATGAGCTCCAGTAGAATTGGAGGTACTTACTGGAAAGTTCAATATGAAGCCTTCCAAGATGAAACATTCCAGGAGAAAGTGCAGCTGGAGGAAGAAAAGCATCTTGGAATCCTGGGTGAGGAAACTTTTAACTCATGAATCTTTTCTTTATCTTCTGAAGAAGATTTATCATATGAATCTTTAATCTTTAACTTCTTTGACTAGACTAAGTTAGAGAAGTGGACTTAGAAGCTGTAATCTGGGAGTGGCTCATGCACATATTGTAGACCAGAATCTCCCAAAGAGAATCCCCGGAAATTAGTACAGTAAAGCCTTGGTTTCAAACGTACTTTGTTCTGGAAACATGCTTGTAATCCAAAGCATTTGTATATTAAAGTGAATTTCCCCATAAAAGATCAAGGAAACTCAGATGATTCATTCCACAACCCAAAAATATTAATATAAAATTATTATACTACAGTAATATAATACAAAATAATAAAGAAAATATAAAATATAGAGAAATAAATGAAATAATCTGCACTAACCATTGAAAATTTTGGTGGTTTGTGTGAGGGAGATAAAAGAGAGAAGGGCTATTGTGAAGGACGACTTTCACTATCACTGACGGAATCTTTGATATCTATTGGTTCAGTGGAATCTTTTTCTTTTTTGCAACATTAACAAGGAACCTATCCAATGATATTTGCTTTTACCTCCTTTTGAGGATTTCATGGAAACATGACATTGCATTGTTGTTAAGCAGATTCATCACTCACTCACACTGCTACGTCCTTATTTGAGTGATTATTTTCTATAAAATTTTACACTGTTTCCTGCAATTTACACATATCCCTAATCTCATGTGAAGTGAGGGATTCCTCTGCCTTTTTCTCTTCCTTTGCAGACAAGATCTCATTCACAACCTCTTGCTGTTAGGAGTCAATCACCTATAATCCTACAGAGAGAGAGAGGGAGAGAGAGGGTGCTATTGGCTCAGTTATGATCATGTGATTTTCAATGTCACATACTACTCATATTGCAAGATATTTCTTGTTTATCAAATTAAAATTTATTGGAAATGTTTACTTGTCTTGTGGAACACTCACAGAACAAGTTACTCACAATCCTAGGTTTCATTGTATTTTGCAATAAAGGTTATGGGTTTGAATGTGTTTGAAAAACACTAGGGTAAGCACAGTCAAATAGTGTTCTTTGGTGCAGAACTTCTGAGAGCCTTAGATTTATATTTGTTCTCTATGAATCTCCAAGATGGAAAGGGAGTTTGCAGTATTTCTAATATTTATTTTTCTACTGAACTATTTTTGCTAACATCCTCTAGTTCCATTGTTCTATGGATCACACTTTTAGAATTGTTTCTCTAGGGATATTCCTGAAGGACTCTATAAGGCAGTACAGCTGTCCAGATTCTTGGCAATCTGAGCCCAGGAGCTGATCAGCATAACATATAGATATACTTGTTTTATTGAAGGATGTAGAGCCATGCTTTGAGTCTGATCTTGGGGAAGGTATCCGAAAGATCTAAAGGACAGAATTGAAAGAGTATAGCAATGTTTAATGTGGTTTATTCACTCAATGGAAACAGGAACTAGATCAGATAGGAGAAGACTTTGGAAATGAAAATAATATAATGATCCATGTCCTGGTGAAAGGTATGAGGCAGTTGATTCTAAATCTGAAAATGGAAATAGGTCCAATATCAACTGTTGAGGAAGATATCAGGAGAAGAAATATACTTAAGAAAGAGGGATGGTGGTGAGGTAAAGGAGCCATCATTGGCTAAGGGAGCAGAGGTAGGGGATTAGGTATGGAAATTGAGTAAGAAACCAAGCTAGAAACTCTGACTTAAGGTTAAAGCCATCATAAATGCTTAGGATATTGTCTTGGTACTTTTATTTAGCCTCAAAAATGACCTAAGATAGGTTAGAAATGGTGAGTAGTGAAGTATGAAAAAAATCCAAAAGTTATGCCTAGACTACTTAGGGTCTGGTAGAGGATATAATAAATTTCCTTGCTCAGAATTGATTTTAAATTAAGGTGGGCTCAGATTTTAGATGGGATCTACTAGAAAATGTAGTTATGAAAGCTCAGATATTAAGTTAGAGGAAATAGGATTGGACCAGGCAGTGAAGTGGAAAACAGTCCTGGCCACAGATCTTGGCTCTGCAGTTAATCTGCCATTTGAATTTGTGTAGGTCCATGCTATCTCTCCAAGTTGAAGTTTCCTCATCTGTAAAAGGGAGATAATAATCCCTGCCCTGTATGCCTTAGAATGATATTTGTGGATCAAAATGAGATCACAAATTTTATAGTGATGTTTAAATTGTAAATTGTAATATACTTACAATGGGTTACTGTCTTTTCTACTATCATTTACCTTTTTTCCCCTTCCCTCTTTCTGTTTTGTTCTTTACTCTTCATCTTTGTTTTTGTTCTCATTTTCTCTCCTCATTTTTCAGGGCCAGTGATCCGGGCTGAGGTGGGTGACACGATCCAGGTGGTCTTCTACAACCGTGCCTCCCAGCCATTTAGCATGCAACCCCATGGGGTCTTTTATGAAAAAGACTACGAGGGCACTGTATATAATGATGGTGAGCTTTCAGGGTTTCCAAGAAATGCAAGTGGTAGCTGCATGTGGTAAAGGACAAATAAATGGAGAATGGGAAAGGAGAAGAAGGTAGAATTGATTGTCATGTGTGACTGTTGTTGGCTGAATGAATTATGTAAGAGTGAAACTGCTAGGATGAATAAGGGAGAACTTCTAAAATATCTTTAAATATTTTGCTATTATAAAGATATATTATGGGATTTTGCAAAACACAAAAGATCATAAAATAAAAATTATTCATAAATAGCCATGTACACGTTGACATAGATTTTAATATTTTCTGAGATTGTAAAGTGTATATATTTACAGATATGAGATTATGTTGTGCATACAGTTTTTCATCCTACTGTTCTTACTTGTCATTATATTGTGTTTCCCATGTGGTTATTATATTACAAACATTTTAAAGACTACATAATACTCTATCACATGAATTTGACTTAATTTGTTTACCTTACTTTCTATTGTTTGGACATACAAGGTTTTTTTTTTCAGTATTTTGAATATTGTAAATCTAGTTACAAAGTATGATTACATACATCCTAGCTTGCTGTTGGGTTATCTCAAGAGAGATTCCTATAAGTGGCATTATTGGGTAACATTTCTTGTTTTCTCTGAGAATATTAACATATACTAGTTCTAAGTCAAAATTAAAAAATTTCTGGGGCTGAAGGTGTGACTCAGTGATAAAGCATGTGCTTAGAATGTGGGGGGCTCTGGGTTCAATTCCTAGTTCTCTCTCTCTCTCTCTCTCTCTCTCCCTCTCTCTCTCTTTCTCTCTCTCTCTCTCTCTCTCTCTATATATATATATATATATATATGAAATTTCAGACTTGGTGTTTTTCACATATGCACACACATATGTATATAATATTTACACACCTACACATAGTACACATATTAAAAGGAAAAATATTCAACAACTAGAATTTCTCAAAGGTGAAATGAGCTATGATGACATACAGTGAGTCTCGCATCACTGGAGAGTTTTAAGCAGCAAAAGGGATATATGAACAGATTAATGTATGTTTTCTATTAAGGAGTATTCCAGAGAAGTCTTATAATCCCTTTTAATCCTGAGGTCAAATTATTTTGGAAAATTGAAATCTAAGAAATTCAAATCACCCCAGTTCATACAGCAAATAATGGTAGAAATAGAAACTAAACTCTAGTCTCTTGATTCCTAGACCAGAGTTCCTTTTAGTGTCCAATATTCCATATTGTTGCTGCTGCTTCAAAATATATTTATAGCTTGTTATCTTTATCTCACTGTTTAGAGATGATGATTCTCACTCTACCTAATATGAATAATAACCTCATGTTTTCCCTATAGGCTCATCCCACCTTGGCTTGATGGCCAAGCCCTTTGAGAAAGTAACATACCACTGGACAGTCCCTCCCCATGCTGGTCCTACTGCTCAGGATCCTCTTTGTCTCACCTGGATGTACTACTCTGCTGTGGATCCTATAAGAGATACAAATTCTGGCTTGGTGGGCCCCCTGCTGGTGTGCAAAACTGGTGCCTTGGGTGCAGATGGTGTGCAGGTAATGCCAGGGTGTCTGGCTGGGAAGCCTGGTAGAAGGAGGATGAAGCTGGTTTGCTGGATAGGAATTAAGTACAGAACTAGCTTCTAGAGTTATGGGAACAGAAACAAAGTAATCAAACCATTACATCAGAAATTAACAGGTGGTTACCCTATGCTATCTTGAATGTTATTTTCTTACAAACACATTTCTTTAGCCTCTGTTTCTTCCTGTTTCATATCCTCCCATCATCATCTCCCTAGTTTCTCCTTTATCTTTTGCCTTTCCTGTCTTCTCTCTTCTTCCTCTCCTCTACTCCCTCCCCTTTTCCTACCTCAGTGATCTTTCAAAACTGATCCCCACCCCTAAATACGCTTTTATATTTGCTTGTCTTCTTTTGTATCTAGCCCACCATTTCTAGCTGTGTAACCTTGAGCAAGTTACTTAAGCTCTTTTTGATTCATTTTCTTCATTTGTAAAAATAAAGTTTTAACAATCGAAGGGTTTCTTTGAGGATTAATGAAAAAATCTATATAAAATGCTTAGCACAATGTTTGGCACATAGGAAGAAATCAGTAAATGATAACTGTAATAATAATTATTGTTATTACTTTTCTCTTTTCTTACAGCTATCCCCTGATCTCCTAGCCATCTTCCCCTAGTCTTCTTCAGTGACTCTGGACTCGCTTTTATCACTCTCCGTATGTCTTCTCCATAATCCTTATCCTGTGCTTCTTCCCTGCCCCTTCTCATACATTCCTCTTCTGCAGTCTTGTCCCTTTACTCTGACCTCCTTCTTCCATCTTTAATTTGTAGTTACTTGAGGAAAAACACCTAGCAACAACTGCAGCTCTGGGCAGGAGATGTGGACTTGGCTCTGACTCTAGAAAAGGAGAAGGGAAAAAATCAGGGGGTTTTGGATCTTCAGCTACACAATACACAATTGCTGAAATTGTTGTTATTCCTCTCTCTGCTTCTTCCAACTGGGATTGCAGAAAGGGGTAGATAAAGAATTCTTTCTCCTCTTCACTGTGTTTGATGAGAACAAGAGCTGGTACATCAATGCTAATAAAGCAGCTGCTATGTTGGATTCCCGACTGCTCTCAGAGGATGTCAAGGGCTTCCAGGACTCCAATCAAATGCATGGTACGGGAAGTATTTTTTGACCTGGGCTATAAATGAGAGGTCCAAATAAAATTTAATCTAACCATTTTCATGAACAATTCCTATGAACACTTGTTATCTCTGTCTCTAAAAAGAAAGCTATATTGAATGATTTGACCAAAAGCAACAGATTTTATAGTTGACATCTTTTTGTTCTGTGCCCTGTATTTCACAGAATGGGGAGGGGGCACCGGAAGAAAGTATTGAGATAAGAACTGTGCACAAGGAAGCCTCTAGAGAGTGTGGAGAATAAGCTGGGGTGATATTCTTCTGGCCTTTTTTTTTTTTGTGGTGCTGGAGATTGAACCTAGGACCTTGCACATACTAGGCAAGTGCCCTACTACTGAACTACACACTCTAGTCCCCTTTTAGTTTTCTATCCCTCTCTTTTATCTCCCACTACACTTGCTCCCATACTCCAGAAATGTGAGGCTGTTTTCACCACCATGATCATACCTTGTACTTCACTGATTTCTTGCTGTGCTATCCATTTAAAATGTCCCTTGTTATATCTTTGCCTTTGGCCAGTGGAAATTCCTTGCATTCTGTAAGACCCTACTTAAACATTACCTCATCCATGTAACCATTTCTTACCACTCAAGTCCACAGTGATGAGTCCCTCTTCTGAATTACCATCACATTTTGATTAGACCATTCAATAGCAAGTTTCATATATTCCTCAATATTGAGTTATTGGTTATATGGTTTTTGACTTCTGCTAGAATATAGTCTTTAAATGTGAGCATTGTATGTTGATTATCTCTGTATTCTCTACATTATCTAAGGCATAGTACATGTTATTTGAATCAGAGAACTACCAAATGGGTAGTGGGTGGGTGAGGTAATGACAGGGTAGATGTGGTTCCAGTTTCCAAGGAGCTCCCAGTGGTTTCCAATGAATTGTGAATAATCAAACCCATGAAACAATTGTAGAACAATTCAAGACAGTATAATTAAGAGCTAAATTGTGTAGAATAGTTTTTAAGTTCAAAGGGAGGAGAATATTAGCGAGGAACAATGAAATTAAAGGATTCCTGAAAGAAGGGAGTACTGTACTCAAGCTGAGGCTTAAAGACTGCCTAAGTTTGCAATCAGGACATTACAAGCAAGAAAAGCAGAATCAAGGTGTTATCAAAGTTTGTATCATCAGAGGGGATTATCAAGCAGGGTGACTCATTAAGGCTATTTGTAGTGGAGTTGGGGACATTGAAAAGGGCTCAACTTCAAGCAGGCCTCCCTGTATTTTGTGTAGGGTAGTCAGGGTATAGTGTAAAAGGTAGGAGGAGAACAAAAATGAGTTTGATGTCTTTTGATGCCATCTCCTATCCATGATTAGTTCTATTATCAGAAAAATAAGAAATTTCATGAGCTCAGTTCATTCCGATTTCAATTTATTGAGCACTTAATTGGTGTAAGCAACATGCCAAGTGCTTGAGCACTCACATAGATCACAAATACAGAAAAAATGATATGATTCCCACTAGGCCAATCTAGTGCAGAAGATAGCTATGCAAATAGATCATTAATTCTGTGATGTTACATTGCAGAATTTTGCAAGTTAAACAGCCTCATTGAAATTAGGGAGAGAGAAAGAGAGGTGGGAGTGGTAAGCAGGAACTAATGGAAAACGGAAAAGGGATGGGAAGTAAGGGGAAGAAGTGGAGAACGATCTGTCAGTTTCAAGTTGTGGGAAACTGATACCATGCTGCTGTTAAAGCTCAACTAGTCTCATCTCATCTTCCCATCTTGTCTTGTGCTTTTGTTTTCCAGCCATTAATGGGTTTCTGTTCTCTAACCTGCCCAGGCTGGACATGTGCAAGGGTGATACAGTGGCCTGGCATCTGCTTGGCCTGGGCACAGAGACTGATGTGCATGGAGTGATGTTCCAGGGCAACACTGTGCAGCTTCAGGGCATGAGGAAAGGTGCAGCCATGCTCTTTCCTCATACCTTTGTCATGGCCACCATGCAGGCCGACAACCCTGGTAAGCACCTTAGCAGCTGGTCTTAGGCTCAAAGACTTGGTTGAATAGAGGGTTGGGGGTTGAATTGCAAGGAGGGAGGGCTAGTAAAGAGAAAAGAAGAGGCATGTTGAGTGTGCAGGGGAGGTTTTCAAGACATTTCTCTCTTCTCAATATGTCTTCCATGTTCTGGTTGTCTGGACTGTTTCCTCAGATGCAAGCAGGATAGAATGAGTAGTAGAGGGCTGAGGAGACTCTTTTCTGGAGCAACCGGATTGAAATTGAGATGCTTCTTAGGGAAGTTCTTTCATGGCAGAGGGTAGACTTGATCATGAATTCCTTAGACCACAGAATTTTTTTTTTTTTTGGTACCGGGGATCGAACTCAGGTCCTTGAGCTGCAAGGCAGGCGCCGGAACCACTGAGCTAAATCCCCAGCCCGACCACAGAAATTTTATAGATACAATCCCTGCATTGGAAGAAAGTTTACTTAGATATACCTGTAAATGCTTTCAATTCTGGTATTCTGTGAGGATTTCTGCATATTGTCTTACTTCTGGTCTCTGTGTGTGATGTGCTGGAATATTATCACCTGAAAAATCAGAACCCAAGATCTCTAGTCCAAGATCTTTCGTTAACATGCTATGTAAGTTTTGTCTAGGCATTTCCCATCTCTGTGGCTAACTAGCTAATTTGATTCTTTCCTTCCTCCCTTTCTTTCTTTCCTCCCTATTTCCTTCCTTATCTCCCTCCATCTCTCCCTTCTCCTTTCCCCCTTTTCTTAATGAATAAATTTAACTAGAATGTTTCTTCAGATTCCATTTATTTCTGTCATTTCATAGTGTAGCAATATTTTTTCTTCAGTCCCCAGAGTGTATTCTTTATCCAATCAGTAGGTGGCTTTAGTGGCTGAAAGAAAATTTAGGACAACAGACAGTAAGTAGCTCCTACTAAACTTTTAGTCCTGTAAATTACATTCCATTACTACTGCTCAGACTCCTTATGGGTGTCTTTTCTCTCTTTTCCCAGTAGAGCTTTTTATTAATTTTCCCTTCTTTTTCCCATTCTTATCCTCTTTTCTTCCATTCCCTTTTCCTCTGCTCATTGTTGCCTTCTTTCATTCTTTTTGCTTTTTTGTTTTTCTTCTCTCTTTATGACCCTCTTTCTCTCTCCTCTTTTTTCATTTTTTCTTCCATCTATATATCTCTCACCTTGCCCTTTTGCTTTCTTTTTCATTTCATCTTTCACTTCTTTTCATCTCTCTTCCTTACTCTGCCACATTCCTTTCTCCTCTTTTTCTCTTTTCCTTTCTCCTTTGATTTTTCTGTCCCTCCTTTTTGCATTCCTTCTCTGAATTTTCTTTTATTTCTTTATCTTCTGTTCTCTTTTCTTTTTCTTTACTTTTTTCTCATTTGCTTTTCTCTCATTTTCTATTTCCTTTCCTTCATTCTGTATCTTTTCTTAATTCTCTCCTTGTAGTCTTCTGTTTTATCTCCTTTTTCTTTTTTGGCTCTTTTTATTGTTTCTTTCTTTTTCCTATTCCATTTTCCCAAAATACACTAAACTTCTGTTCCCTTCCACTTGTTGGCTTATGTGCTGGGGATTAAAGGATGAACGAGGCAGCTCACAGATAATGAAAAGGAAGATAGGTCTGCAAACATTATCCACCAGGCCATGTTGATATCCTAAGAGCTAGGACAACTCATTGGAAACCATAACAAATTCTTTCTGATTTGCACATGAAGCTTTGCTAAAAAGCAGACATTCAGACTGAGCCTTTGTCTTTTCTTTTTCTTTTTTGAACTGGGGATGAAACTCAGTGCCTAGCTCATGCTAGGAAGGTACTCTGGCACTGAGCTATGCCCCGGCCTCCCACTGAACTTTTAGGAATGAATTAACTGCTACCAAAGAAAGGGGGGAGCTGTGAGGAGGCATTATATTGGCAGTAGGAGCCATAAAAGCATTGTCTTAGAAGCAACAGCTGCCTGAAGAAGATTCAATGGGTCTCAACTTGAGGTATGCTAAAAAGCGTTTGCAAAGTACAAATACTTTTAGTTGTTAAAGGAACTGAAGATGTAGAGGAAGTGATACTGGCATTTAGAGGATAGAAGTTAAAAAGTCAACTGGAATGTAAAATAATGATTGGTACAAGCTTGGGAAAGGGGATGAGGGTAGGTAAAAGAGGCTGGATTTGATCAGTGCACCCTGTATGCATGTACTGAAATTTCACATAGAACCCTATCAATAGGTACTATTTATACATGTTAATAAAATTTTTAACTATGTTGGGGAAAACCTTTTTGCAATGTATAGAACAGTCCCATATAATGAATAATCTCACTCAAAATACTAATAGCCTCCTTGTTGCAGAACACCAAAATGTAAGATTTCAGGGAGATAAGAAATGGCTAAGGACCTAGTTGATGTAGAAAGAGATGTAGAAAGAGCCTTGCTAAAGAGCTGTGACTTTATCTTCTAGGTTATGGGAGAGCATCAGAAGTTTTGTTTCATTTATCAAATGATGAGTGATAGTATGTGATTTTTATTTATATAACTTTACTATAGAATAGTATGGATAATGACTCTGAATCAGAAGGAAGTAGAACCCATGAAGCACAGCAGAACGCTCTTGAAAGAATGATAAGAGCTTGTTAAAGATGGGGGCAGTAGAGATGGAGAGAAGGCAGAGGGACATTTGAGGAAAAAATGACGGGACTTTGGTGAGGAGTTAAGTAAGAAGAAATGAGGTCTAAGGTGTCTAGCTTGTGTGGTGGCATTAGTCAGACAAACAAATGAAGAAGTAAAGAGGGGTGTAAAAATGGTAAGGTTTGGATAAAAATTATTTATATGGTAGCATATAAACTTTTCAGTTCCTGGTGAAATCCGGGTGGTGAAGATTTCACATTAGATAGGTGTAGGTAGAAATCTAAAGCTTAAACAAGAAGCCTGGGTTATAGAGAGAGATCTAGGTATTCTCATAGTTCAAGTCTAAAATTATATAAAGTAATAGGAAAGAAAATTTAGTTTAGAAAACATTTAAGAGGTAGGAGGAAAATGTAAAGCCACAATAAAAGGCAAAATATTTATCGGCAAGGCCTGAGAAGACTTAGAATCTAAGAGTAGAAGAGTACTCAGAAAGAAGTAGCTTGGAAGCAGTGTTCATATGAGAAAATTCAAATGATGTGGCTAGCTCAAGATCACATGACTTTTTCTATTGTCTCCTACCTGTTTCTATCACCTTAAGTGATCTTCTGACTTACTTTTTTTATTCCAGATCCTAACACTGGCTTTTGGACAGTGTACACAATCATCCTTTTGCACACACATTAATTCTGTTAACAAATCTTTGTTGTAAAATTCTGTGTGTTAGGACTAGAATAGTGAGGCAAATAAAATATATATCCTTTGCTCTCAGGGGATATTCTCAGCCAACACATAATATAAAGGAATTGCAGATAGTAGTGATACATATCATGAAGAAAATAGCATAGAAAGTGATGGAGACATTACATTAGAGAAACATATTCAAAGAAAACGTCTTTAAGAATGTCATTTAAGCTAATACATAAATAATAAAGAAGGAGCCATATGAAGATCTTTGAACAGAACATTCTAAGCAAAGGGACCAGCAGCTGTGAATACTGAAATAGCATGTCTTGTTCAGGCACCAGAAGGCAAGCCAGTAAGATTGGAATATGGTGAACTAGGGGAATACTGGCATGATGTGGCATAGAGGTTGCTAAGAATCATGTTATGTAGGGCCTTATGAAGCATTGTTAGGAGTTTGGATTTTACCCTGAGACTGAGTGGAATGTTTAAAACAAAGATGCAATGTGCTGTGGATTATATTTAATAAAGAACATTCTGGACGCTGTTCTGGATAATGGTCGAAGAGGGCAGGAGGAAAAGCAGAGAGGACAGTTGGGAGACTATTGCAAGTTTCTAGGTAAGAGATGTTGATGACCGGCTAGGGAAGTAATGATGAAAGGTTAATTTTGAAGTAAGAGCTGATAGGACTTACTGATCGAATAGATGTATGCAGAATAATGCAAATAGAAACATTTGGAAGCAGATATGGAAAGAAATGTAGGGACACTTTAAAGTGTCTATAAAATTTATGTAAAGAAAGAAGCACTTTAGTCCTTAACCATGTCATTTACCTATAAAATGCATTACGGATGGGGAGCCTAAGATGGTAGAGTCTTTGGGCCAGAATAGTCAGTGAGGGCTTTCCGGAAAAAAAATGAAATATGAATTGGCTATAGGAGAATGAGTGGGCTCTCATAGATTTTGAGGGTGAGATAGGAAAGTACATTCCAAAAAGATGGTAATAGCAGGAGTGAAATTCAAGATAGGAATGACATGTGAGGGGGCGGTCAGAGATAGATTTAGATAGAGCAGTAGTTGAGTTTGGTACAATGTGTAAGAATTAGGACTAGGTCAAGAGTTAGGAACCAGCTCATAGAAGGCTTTAAAAGCCGGAAAGAAGAGTTTGTAGTAATAGGGCAGGCAGAGGAGAGCAAGGTAAGGGAATAATGAGAATAATGTTCTAAGAAAGTTAGCTGCTTTTGATCAATATTATTGAGCTTGAATGTCCTTGACATAGAAATCTGTAACTTGAGATAGAGTTCTGGCAAAAGCACAACACAGGCATTCAAGGTTGATATCTGAACATTCTATTGTAAAAACCTATGGAAGTCCTTTCCAAAGCTGTCTTATGTAAACATCCTTGAGATCAAGAAATTATTTTTTTAAAATCTAATGATTTAAGTGCATATTTATTTCTTTGGTACTTAATAGAAAATGGAAACAACTGGTCAATGCCTTACTTGGAATAATAATCCTTAAACTTTATTTACTTATATATAGCTTCACTTATTGAATATTTACTCTATGCTATATATGCTAAAAACTGTACATATATGATTGTATTTAATGTAAACTACATGACATAAGCTAAACAGTCCCCATTTTGCTGATGAGGGAACTGAAATACTTAGATATTCAGGAATTGCTACAAAGTTGTATTGTTAATAAGTGACAGTTACCAACCATTCCAGTTTTCCCCAAACTGAGTGGTTTCCAGGGATATGGGACTTTCATTACTAAAATTAGGAAAGCTCTTGGTAATCTGGGAAGAGCTTGTCATTTTAGTGGCAGACTAGTTTTTAACCCAGATGGTGTATATTTGGAGCTAGAGCTCTTATACTTTGTGCTCATTACCCTCAATTAACTTGTAATATAGTTTTTATGTAATGCATAGAAGAGCCTTATCCTGGACTGTCCATTCTCTACAGAAAGGCTAGAGAGAGGAGCAGGAAATACTACTGCCAGGGGTATTCTGAATCAAGTTTTGTTCTCTGATTCTCCTTTAGGGACATTTGAAATTTACTGCCAAGCAGGGAGCCACCAAGAAGCAGGAATGCGTGCAATCTATAATGTGTCCTATTGTCCTGGCCGGCAAGGCAGCCCTCACCAACACTACCAAGCTTCAAGAGTCTACTATATCATGGCAGAAGAGTTGGAGTGGGATTACTGCCCTGATAGGAGCTGGGAACTGGAATGGCACAACCAGCCTGAAGAAGAAAGGTAAGGCTTCAGAAGAGAAGAGATCACACTTTTAGAGAATCATTTCACATATGAGGATACTGAAACTGAGGAAGAGGCACTTATCTAAGGCAATAATATGATACTAACTGAACTAGGATGAGGGACTAGAATGCAAGTTTTCTGGATTTCAGCTCAGTGTTTCTTTCGTATTTACTTACTATTTGTTTGAAGTCAAAGAATTGCTTGCACTCTCATCCTCTTAGTCTTTCCCTCCCTTCTTCTAGTTCGCCAGAAGTATCTACCCTTATATTTAAATTTCAGAGAGAATTTATTTAGGGAACTATATGCCTCAAGCTCATTCATTAAGGTATGAAGTAGGCTTAAGTTATGAAGTAGGCATGTAGCTGTAAAAATCCAAAAAATGTAAATTAAATAGAATTTTATTATAGCACAGATAGGAGCTACCTATGGCTGGGAGGTGAATTGTGCCACCCTCAATACTTATTTTCATCTCTGGGTCCAAGATGCCAGTTATACTTATAGCCATTCCCAGCTATCAACTCAGAGAAAACAGCATTGTCTGTAAAGTGATGGCCTAAATGTATACATCATTTTCTTTCATAACCTGTTGTCCTGAACTTATTCATATGGCTATACTGATCTGAAAACAAGTCAAAGAAAGGTAATCTCTGGGCATCTGTGTTCTCAGGTAAAACCTGGGTGATTCTATTACTAAAAATGGAAGAGGATAGAATTGAAACTGAAATATGAATTAGCAGTCTCCACTCTTTTTTCTTAGGTGATCTTGCTGCTTTTTGCCAATTCTTGCTTTCTATGTTGATTGCTTGAGATCTTGGTGATTTGCTCTGGGAATTAGGAAAAGTGAATTCCCGTATGTGACCCTTGGTTTACTCACCTATAATGTATTGAAAGAACATGACTCTAGAAGTGGGAGGAAAGAGCAGCAGGCTTGAATCTAAGCCCAGGTTCTCTTTCTGCTTTCTGGCTGACAGTGTCTCTGTAGATAAGTCCTGTCACCTCTGGTCAAGTGATTGCACCTCTGGGACCACCTATGGGTCACACCTATCGAGAATATCAAATGGTAAAATGAATAACAAAGCTCTTTGTAAATTAAAAAATTATCCTATGAGAAGAAACATGTAAAATGTCATTTCCTTCCTATCTCTTCCCACCTATTACCTCCAGCAGCAGCAGCAGCAGCAGCAGCAGCAGCAGCAGCAGCAGCAGCAGCAGTTAATATTCTCTTACCATTTTGTACCTACCTTGTCTAACTAATTTCATCTAAGGCCTCCTTAAGGTTGGAGCTAGAGCCCAAAGCTTCTGATTCTTAGCCCAGTGCACTTATCATACTAACTGTATTATAAATTTCTTATCTGGGTGAGGGAAAACAAGAAACATGAATAGATTTTGAAACCTATTCTATTCTGAAATAGAATCTTCATGATGGTTACACAGCTGATTCGGGTGGGTCTGAAAAAAGTAGAGATCAATATCTTCTTCCTTCTGTGAATAAACATGGTTCTGACTAAGCTACTCTGTATCTGAAAATGAAGACTTGAAGGCCAAGTGTTGATAATACTATTTTGGTTCCTCTAGTTATGGTCACATTTTCCTGAGCAGCAAGGATGGGCTCCTAGGTTCCCGATACAAGAAAGCTGTATTCAGGGAATATACTGATGGTACTTTCAAGATCCCTCGGCCAAGGTCTGGAGCAGAACACTTGGGAATCTTGGGTAAGGGAATTCAACTTCCATTCTAGTGTCTAGAAGCCTGACATGCTTCTAGGACAGCTATATCATATCAGTAAGTCCTCTATAATCCCCATTCTCAATTTTTCTTCTGCTATCCTAGAAGTATGGTCATTATAAGGGAATCATGAAAATTATCACTGAATTGAAAAGTATGAATTCTTCTATCTGAACCAGGTTTTTCCAGAATATCTACATCTTTGTGCTATAGAGTCTCTTTGGGCAGGCCTGGCCTAGTGAGGAAACCTAGTGTCCCCACTCTGGCTTCCTTGCCACCTCTTCCATCATCTCTCCAGGGACAATCCATAGGCTGGCCAGGGTACTAGATTTTAAGAAGTGCTATAGGCAGGAGAATTTAGGAACATCAAAAAGTGAAAATAATGATACAAGTAATCAATATTCCCTGTATATCCCACTTTTTTCACCTTTTTGTGGGTCCAGTGGTTTTCCTCATGCTCAATTTGCCACAGAAGAGACCTATTGTCCCCTGAAAAGAGCCCAGCTATTCTTTATTCTGTGCCAAACTTTCTCTCATTAATCATCAATGATTGCACATAGTTCTCTAGAGCCTGTGGCTATTACAGATAGAGTTGGGATAGGAAAAGTAGGGATAATTGGAGGTATTACCCTGTTGTTGAAATATTCTTGTCAGGTGTGGTGGTGCACACACCTCTAGTCCCAGCACTTGGGAGGCTGAGGCGAAAGGATCATTGTGAGTTCAAGTTCAAGGCCAGCCTGTTCTACATAGTGAGTTCAGCCTGAACTATACGTTGAGATCCTAAAAATGGAAGGAAAGAAAGAAAGAAAGCAGGAAGAAAGAAAGAAAGAAAGAAAGAAAGAAAGAAAGATTCTTATGCTGTAACAGTATCAGTTTAAGGACTTTTGAATCTAAATATGGAGTGAACCTTAATTTTTGGTGTTAAAAGGATCTTTTCTCAGTAAAACCCTAAATCCAATGAACCTCACAGGTATGTCCATTTCTTTAATGTTCCTGGTTTTATTACCCAACTAATGAAACTTTTAATTATTTTATATATATATTAGGTCCACTTATCAGAGGAGAAGTTGGTGATATCTTGATTGTGGTGTTCAAGAATAATGCGAGCCGCCCCTACTCTGTGCACGCCCATGGAGTGCTAGAATCTAGCACTGGCTGGCCACGGGCTGCTGAGCCTGGTGAGTGAGTGGGTACACAGAAGAGACACAGAATACACAAGAATTTGACTTCAGTCTTTTGTTTTGATGCTTTAAAAAATTACACTCTTGTGGGTTGGGGATGGAGCTCAAAGGTAGAGCATTTGTTTAGCATGTAGAAGGTCCCGAGTCCAATTCCCAACATGGACAAAAACAAAAAAGGCTGGTGTATAACTTAGTGGTAAAATATGAGCTTTGAATGTTTAGGGCCCTGGGTTCAAACCCCAGCACACACACACACACACACATACACACACACACACACAAAATAACCAACTAAACAAACAAAAAAAGTGCTCTTAGAGATATGAGATAGTTACATTTGCCAAGACAAAGCCACACCCTAAATTTGTTTCTATGAAAATTAAATTTAATCTCAAAACAGAGTGTGGTTTAGTCTTGACTACTATTCCTATTTTAAATCTCTAAAAGTATACTTTGGCTCTAGTCTGAACTGATCTTGCCCAGAGAGTGACATGGCCCAGACCACAGATTAATCTTTAACACTATTTATAGCTAAAATTCTTGTCCTCTTATTATAGATTAAATTCTAACCCTGGTCAAACGCTAAACTCCTAATACTGAATGTAGAATGACCACAACCTTCTCCACATTCCTTTCCATTAATTAATTCTTTGAGTAAATATGTGAGGCCAGTGTATGACAGGAACAACTTTAGAAGTTATGAATGCAGTAGCAAGCAATATTTCTTCTACCCTTAGAAAACTTGGACTATTATGATAGAGACAAGTAAAATGGTAAGTATAGTGCAGAGTGATGAGTGTTAAAGTTTTACAATGTGATAGGTAGTTTGAAAAGTGGTACCTGATCTAATGTTTGTGTGGTTAAGAATAGTTTTCCAGAGTAAGTCACACCTCACCTGAAATCTAAATCATCAATTTTCAAACATTACCATGTATCAAAATCACATACTTGTTAAAACAAAGAGTGCTGGGATCAATCCCCAAAGTCTCTGATTCAGTGGGTCTGTGATAGAACTTAACAGTTTGCTACTTCAAGTTTCCAAGTGATGCTCACACTTCTAGTTCAGGAACTGCATATTTTAAAAAATTAAATTTATTGGTACATTTTATATATATATATATAATGATCACATTCATCATAGGAAATTTGTACCTGTACATATAATATATCTTGATTCTTCTTTTTTCTCCAACCCCTCCCTTCCCTTCAACCCTTCTTCCCTTATTTACAAAAGCTTTGTTTCCATTTTTTCTTCTATTCTCTTTTTTTCTTTTCCCTTTCTTTCATTCTCCCTCCCCCCTCCCTTGTTCCCCCTCCCATTTGAACATTTTCTTCCTATTGCCCAATATCTATTATACACTTTTGTCCTTAATTAACATTTCAGTTTCTCACTACAGGAAAACAATGTGATATTTAAACATGGGTGTCTGATTTATTTCACTGAACAGTATAGTCTCATGGTGTCTCAAGTTTATCCTTCTTTATGGAAGAATAGTACTCTACTGCATGAAAACCCCACATCTTCTTTATTCATTCATCTGTTGATGGGCATTTGGGCTGTTTCCAAGATTTAGCTATTACAAATTGTGCTGCTATAAATATGGGGTGCATATATTGCAGTAGTATGATGCTTTTAATTCTTTCAAAAAGAGAAACAGCTGGCTACGAATTACATTTTGAAAACCATTGAGCTAAACTATGAGAAAACAGGTATATGAGTGAAGGGTAGAGTGGAAGAAAAATAAGGAAAAGGAAGTTGTAGATGTAGAATATGTAATGTTTAAAACTCTAGTAGTGAGAGATAAAAGTTGGACTAAGGAAAAAGGAATAGATTCCAGAAAGATCAGTGAGGTGAAATAAACAAAATTTGTGATGAATTAGGTGTTGAAAGTAAGAAAGATAAGAATCCTTGTATGACACACACACTTTGGAAGAAATTCTTGAGTAATACCCAGATTTTTGGCTTGGACGACTGGATAAATAGTGATGTCATTTATTAAGATAGGAAAAATGGTAAAAAGCTACCTCAACATTTGTGGGGAATAGATTGATTGATAATGGGTTCAATTTTGAATTTGTTGAATTTGAGGTGTCTAATATGACCACATACATATATCAGTTAGACATAGAGATATAGGGGTCAGCCCAGTGATACAGTGATATGTTTTTATGCTTTGCAGTGGTAGATGTAGAGAGCATCGATATTAAGAAATATATTACTTATTGGAACATGCATCTGAGAAAACAGTGAGAAATATGGTAGGAGAAAAACAGAAATTATGGTATCATAGATGTTTACAAGACATTTCAAAGATCTCAAGGATGAAGTAGTCAACAATCTTAGTTGTTTTAGTGAGTCTAAATATGATAAGAACACAAAATTTTTCACTGGATGGCGCAACAGGGGAACAACTGGTGATTTTGATAAATTGGTAGTAAAAGAGAATATATTGGATTGGATTAAAACATAATTGGGAGATTTGGGAGTGGAAATAATGAAAATGGTTTAATTTTAAAATGTAGTTAAAACAATTTCAGGGGTACAGTTATGTGCTAAAGTAAAATGGAAGTGAAGAACATTAGATTTGAGGAGGTCAAGTAAGTGGTAGGCTGAGTGTTGGATGAATCATCCACAGTGACCTTAAAGTCACTCAGAAGAATGATAGGAGTTGAGGTGAAAAGGTAGATAGAGAATGAAATACTAAAATCATCAATAAATGAAAGAAGGGATGCATTAAAAGCAGGAAAAATGGTTAGAAGTTTGTTATAGTGATCTAAACAAAGAAGTAATCTTTAACAAAGAAGGAGCCTTGGTATGATGGCACAAACCTGTAATCTCATCACTCAGGAAGCTAAGACAGGAGGATCACTGTGAGTTCAAGGCCAGCCTGGGCTACATAGTGAGTTCAAGGCCAACCTAAACAACACATCAAGATCCTGTCTAAAACAAAAGGGGAGATAGCACATGAAGATAAAGTGTTAGATGGATTTAACAGATGTTAAAGTAGAATCAGTAAGATATGATGGACTGAACAATGTTTTTGGAATAATGGTGATGGAGGAGTCAAGGATAATGATCAAAAGTTTGGTTTAAGAGGTTGGATAGTAGTATCACTCAGAAAGATAAAAATTGCAGGAAGCAGAACATGGTTTTGTTTGGTTTTCTTTATTGAGGAGTGATATTAATTTTATTTTGAAATGTTTTGAGTATGAGGTACCTGTAAGATAAACTAGTCATAATGAGTCAGCCACAAAGACAGATTATATTCAGTTGGAGATAATAGATTCATAGCTTAGAAGAGATACCTGGGATAGATACAAAGATTTAACAGTCATTAGTAACTACAAAAGATGATAATTGAAATCACAGTTATGTATGTGATCAACCAGCGAGTAGCAGAGTTACATAACTTTGAGCTGAAAAGGAAACTTTGAATTAATATCATTATTTAAGAGGAGGTAGGGTACTCTTAATAGTTTATAAATTAAAACAATTCTAATCAAAATCATATTTGGATATTTTTGTGCTGAAATGAAATGATTGTATATAATGTCCACTTAGGAAAAGAAAGAATACCTGGGAAGAGTCAAGATTTTTAAAAAAGATTAATGGGAAAAGAATAGCACAACCTAATGGTATAGCATTATTGTAAAGATACAATAATTAAAGCAGCATGATACTGTAAAAAATAAGTAAGACAAAATAAAAACCTCTGAAACAAAAGCAAGATTCTGCTTTTGTCATTAGCAGTGGGAATACCTCATTATTAACCATACACTTTTGCTCTCTACCTCTCACTTACCAGCTTCTAACTGGGTGATGTTATTAATTTCATTAGTTAGAATCCACTATATTTGCTGGACAATGTCTTACTACTGGACAGAATTACTGTTTCTTTTATTTTAACACTCCCTATTACATTGTTTGTTCCTATGTTATGAGTTGACCTGTGCCTGTAACTGAGTGAGCAGGAAATGTATGTTGAGACAGGTCTTGCATTACAGTTTGATGGGGCTGGAAAGAGAAAACCTTGCTTAGGCCTTTAAGTCAAAGCTTTGCTCTTCAGTTCACCTGTTATCAAAGTTCTGCAATAGGGGTCAGTGGACACTGACTCAGTTGTTAAGTAAGTGATTCTTTGATTCTCATTCAGCCACTCTTTATAATTTCCTTAGTCAGCAACCCTAAGGGAAGGAGCAAGTAATAAGAGCCAGGCTTTCCTATGCTCCTAGATTAATACCATCATAATAGCATTGAAGTTTGGACTCTTACTTCTAAAAATGGAAGAAAGGAAAAATTGATCAACATATAGTTTTAGAGCAAGTCATTATCCTTTGGTGAAAAGTAAAACCATATTTCTGTCAATTAGCACATGCTAAAGTAAATTACAAATAGATTAAAAGTAATACCTTAAAAAAACTAAAAGAAAATGTAAGTGAACATTTATCTGAATTCTGGGTGGGAATAGATTTTCCTAAGTTTGAAAGCAAAAGATGAAACCCTAAAAGAACATATAATGAATCTAATAGTGTGAAGGGTTCTTACAAAATAAAAGTAACCATTGCAAAAGAAAAAAATGAGTGAAGTATAGAGGCCAGAAATTTGTAAAAGAAGCAATATAAATATATAACAGAACATGAAAGAAGGTTAGTGTTACTAATAAGTAATGTAGTACGAACTGGCAATAAAAAAACCCCACACAGTGTAGTCGCTGCTCTTATAAATTTCACAGTTTGGGGGGTAAAGGAAGTAATAAGCAAGAAATCAAGTACATACACACATACTTAAAACATAAGTGCTATGAGAGTAGCAGAAGAGAATAATGGGACAAATAGAGAAAAAAGTGTAGATCTTATAGCAGGGACATTTTATGTATGACCTGAGGGGTGAGAAGGAGCTAGTGTAGCATCTCTGAGAATTATCTGAAGGAATGACCATTTCAAGGAAAGAGAACAAGGGTAAAGGTCCTGGAGACAGTAGTATGGCTGAGCAGAATGAA